TATATATATATATATATATATATATATATTTTTTTTTTTTTTTTTTAAAGGATTTTCAACTTCACAAAAACAAGAAGGAAAAAAATGGTTTAAACGAACAGCTTATTAAGAAATACTTTTACCAATAAATACAGGAAAACAAATATTGAAATTCAACCTAAACAAATACTCAAACTCAATATAGAAAACACCATACATCAGATCCACCTCCCCCCCTTCAATTATCCAATGGTGCAGTCCTGTACACACCTACTTGGTGAGTGAAACAGCAAAGGTGTGTATTTCACAATATTTGAACTCTTTAATCCATGAATTTCCATTTTATGAAGAGTTAAAAAAATATATATATATATTGTAAAGTGAAATCAATTTACCTTTTTACAAAAATGAAAAACAAGATGTGGCCAAGCAAAGAACCACAACCCAAACAAATCCACTTCACCCAAAACAAAAAGAAACCAATGTAGAAAACCAGATGCTGTGTTTAACTGCTACTTTGGCCAATATACAGGTAACAACGCCTCATTGTTACAATATATATATATATATATATATATATATATATATATATATATATATATATATATATATATATATATAAAATTGAACTACTATATTTGAACTATAATTAAACAAACATAATATAAGCTATAATCTTGAGCCAAACTGTTGATGTGCTGTGTGAATAAATAAAAACTGTGATTTTCAGGACGATTTTCCAGTCGTGTGAGAATCTTTCGATCGAGCTGACTTTCGGCCAGATCGTACGTCGTGAGTCGTTTAGTTTACAGGGGGTTCAGCCTCTCACAACCACCTCCCAATCAGGAATCATGAGGTTGTGAGGTCCCGACCGTCGTGGGCAAATCGCCTAGTATGAATGTGCAAACAAGGATTCTTCTGTGAACACAGCAGCGTGGCAGGGATGCAATGAGTGAAATGCCGTTCTGTCTGTAAAATTGACAGACCGTAGTAGCCATGTTTGCTCAGCCATGTCTTTTTTCCAAATACTTCGTCCCCTTTTCTTTTTACGGCTTTCAGCACTAAATTGCACAAATTGCCAAGGCAGAGCGTTTCACTCCAGTGAGCTTCATATTCCCCTTCTATTTGTTTGGCTTCCGGATAGACAAGTCCAAGTAGAGAACATACATCGTGAGCTGTGAAATTTCTTACCGTCTTTGATTAAAATTGTAAAGAAAAAACCCACAGTTTGAGCTGCAATTCTGATGCAGTTAAAAAGCTTCAGTAATTTTGAAACACACAGATTATTCGAAAATTACTGTGAATCTCAGCACAAAGTATGGAGAAATGATGCCTCGCTCTAAGCAGTTGCATGACTGGAGCGCACTCGAAACACTCCTCAATGCCACACCTGCTTCAAAAAGGTCAAAGCTGTGTCGAGCAGACTGATTCGAGCCCAACATCAGTAGATTGCACTATTCTAATTATGGTAAACAGCTAATTATACTAATCATCCTTCTAGATGAATCAAACCGAATTTCATATCAGCAGTAATGTGAACTGTATTTATCACATAATATACACTTTTAAGATGTGATTAAGTTAATCATCACCACAGAGTTTGCTCAACACTTTCCTAGAAGATCAACAGTATATTTAGACATGTGACCCTTTATACTTGTAAATCTTGATGCAATGATGCATGCTATCAGACACTGCCAGTTGCCCATCCGGTAACAGGGTCAGACCACGGGGGCTACTCAAGCCCTGCGTTATGATGGGCCAGCCGATGCCTTGAGCAGGGTACAATACCACTCTGTGCTCTTCTCCCCAGTCTGCAACTAGGATATTGCTTTCTTTATCTATGCATATGCCCCAGGGACATGTAAGGACCGGTCCCATACCAGCACATACACCAAGAACTCTCACTGTGTTCCAACCTGGCTCCAGAACTTTGATGCAAGGTACACGTCCTGTTTCATTGCCCCTTTCGGACACCGCCACTATACCTGAGCTCAAACAGGCTGCTACCAAGTAAGGCCTGTGGAATCCGGTCACTACTGTGCGTTCAAGCCTGCAGCCGGTTTTAGGGTCAAGCTTCAAGGCAATAAGATTGCCTTTTTTGATATCAGCAACCAAAAATTCATCCAGTCTGGTTACAGTCACCCCTCTTGGAGCTTCCAGTTCATCTTTTGCAGAGCCTAACCCTGATCCTCCAAAAATCTCAAGAAGACGACCATGGCGGCTGAACACAAGCAAAGCTCTTTCTGCAGCACAGCTTAAGGCAATCAGACCTTTGCTATTGACAGCAATGTCGAAGTAGTTTCGACATCGTCTGGAGGAGCCACTGATGTTTGGAGAAGTCACTTGCTGAAGAACATTCCCCTGAGGATCAGTCACCTATTTAGAAATTTAAGTTAGTTTAATCTAAAAAAGAAGATATATGTAGGCTTTAGATGTTAGAAAGAATACAAACCTGGACACGTGCATTTCCACAGTCAACTACAAACAGTTGCCCATGTGGTGTGGCGTGGATACCACTTGGTAGTGTAAGGTCAGATCGGCCAGAACCCTGTCTCCCAAACTGCCCCATGAGATGAGCACCACTTGCCTTGAGAGCTGTTAATGATGGATCAACCTCCTCTTCCAACTCCATGAGGGCATGCTCTTCACCTTCCCCTCTAATTCTCTTTTGCTCTTGACAGGACCCATCTATGAATGACATGGACAATGACCTAACAACAGGGACTTGTTGTAATGTAGTTGTTGTGGGAGTTTGCTTTGACTGTGGCAGTATGTCGTGTTCTGCAGAGTTAGGATATTGAGGGATCTGACCCCTTTCAAAGACTCTGAATCCTCTGCTTAGAGTGTTGTTATAGTTGCCACTCTTAACTCTGGACAACCGTTGCTTATTTGCACTGGTACTAATCCATGGCCTTGTCTTATGTGTTAGGTCTACTGCTGATTTGGAAAGATGAAAACTTTTATTCAAAGAGCCTTTGCTCAAACTGAAGTCATTTGATGGGCTAACAATAAAGGTATAGCTGGAGTCAAGGCTATCTGCTGGAGATGGTGCACGACCAGAGTCACCAAGCGTCCCCTGAGAGTGTTCATCAGAAGACTGGCTTTGACGAGAGTAAGTTCTTGCTTTGGAAGTAATATCTAGACAGCTTTGACTGACAAAAGTCATCTTCTGAGATGAAAGTGTACAGCTACCATGATGCCAAGGTCTACAACTAGAGTCATGACTCCCTTTTCCTTTATCTCCACCTATGTTACGTTGACTTGAGTATCCAGTCACCTTAGCAGACTCGCATTTTCTTTCAGGGGAAGGGGATGGTTTTCTGCTGGCAGCCAAAGAAGTCATCTTTTTGTGATTACTGGGTGAGAAATAATCGCCATCAATGGTCATACTGTGTACTGTGCTCTTTACTTTGATGTCCTTATTTTCAAGAGCAGAAGAGACAGCCAGAGAACTTGTACTCATATCATCAACTTGGGATGTTTCCCATTCAAACTGTTCACACTTAGGAAGCCATTGGTGTATTTTTGCAGAAGAGAGCTTTTGTTCCTCTGTTTGCAGATCACTACAGTTTGAGAGGTTAATCCTTCTGATCACCCTGCCTGTTGGTGATGTCCAACCCTGACCTTGCATGTTTTTTTCTCCTATATGAATTTGATGATGAGTGTCTTCACAATGGATCTCCTGTGAATGTAGAGCACACAGCTTCCCATCTGGCCCACAGCCTCCAACATTCAGACACATATCTTGCTGCTGCACTTGAATGTCTCCAAAGGTTACTGCGTTAGGTTGGGAACTTGGTTTGAAGTTCACTCTCTTAAGTGAAACAGAGATGTCCCAGGGTTGTAGAAACTCTAAAATCTCTTTTAGTAAGGGGTTTTGAATTGGTCCATTTTCAGATTGAACAGACTGACCTTCTGTTTGGAGTCGTTGTTGAAACTGAACCAGATTATCAAGCCTTTGCTCTAAAAGAGACTGGCTGACCCTTGCGGCTGCTATATTTTCCCTCTGGATTTGCTCCAAACGCTGCTGAGTGTCCCGATGGTCCTGCTCGACTCTCTCCAACAGGCGCTTCTCCTCCCTACGCACTCCAAGAATCGCCCGTTCTACACCCCGGTTAACTGTTTCAATCTCACTGGCATGACGAACCTGTATCTGACGTAAATCTTCCACTGCCTGGATGAGGTCATTCTGAGCCTGAGTTGCCCAGCAGGGAAGCATGTTATGTGAAAGAAAAGATAAAGTGTGATCTGATCCAGAATCCGAACTTCTAGGGTCTGGAATGTCTTCTTGGACAGGGGAGGTTGAACTACTCTCAGGAGGTGTTCCCAAAAACATCTTGAATGGATGAATCCTTACTTTTTCAGTCTTGGTTTTCAGTACCTATAAATAGAACATAAATAAACAGATGAATAGTTATAAAACAAGATGGGGGCCATCATTGCACTCAGATCATTTTATTTGGCATCTTTGATTTGTGGCATTCTTTGGATGGATTGCAAATCCTACATAATTGAGTTAGATGACTGCTGGATTATTGTGGAAGAGAAAATACAGTGTTTTGGTCAAATATCACCAAATATCATCACATAAATTAGTCAGCCATAACATTAAGACCCATGGACATGTTGACTTGTATGTAGCTATGCAGTTTTACATCCTATAAACTGAGGTTTCTTACACTTTTCTGTTCTAAACTTACTCTAAACTTTGTGGCTGCTATTTCTCTTGCTACTAACCTCTATTCTAGGACCAGGTTCTCACTTGCAGCCCTATAAAATCTACCGGTACCTAAAAAACAGATACCTAGATGAAGAGATAATCATTTTTATTCTCTTCACTTGCTTAGTGTATGAATGTCAATTACTTTCTTTTTTTGTCAATCATCCAACCCCGCTGCATCTGAGGGAAGATCAGTAATCCTGGAATTAAATACTCCTATTAAAAAGGAAACAAATACATTTTGACATTTACTTGTGGTGAACTTTCTCAGTATTCTAAGATGATTGTAATATGACAGGGGGTTTAGTTTACCAACAGTTAATAGGGCACTAACAAACAGAAAGTCAAGCAAACAAAACAGTTGCTTATTATATTTTAAAGCCATTTGCAGTCAGCATTTCTTATTCTGTCCTTGGGTTCTGCGTACCTGATTTTAGATTTAGAGTAATATAAAACTTGGTTATACTTCACAACTTTCATATGAAGACAGGGTGGGTTTTTCTTTTAAAACCGTGTATTCTTGGAATGCTTCGGGTAGAAGACAGCTCAAGAAAAGGTTTTGAGTCAAACACAAAAACACAATGTTCTGCTTATTTTTTAAAGCCATGATAGACAAGAAAAAGAATCTAAAGAGGCAAGTAGGGTCTGAATGTCAGCACAACTTCTCAGCTTCCCCTTGGTGTCGAGTTTAGATTTTCCTTTGATATTTTATTCATGATGTGAGCCAAGTGAACTAGAGAAGTAGACAAAGACGCCAGTCTTATAATAAAACCCATACGAATATTTCTACCTACAAAGGATAGGAAAATGTTTCAGATATGATTCCATATTTAAACTTTCCCTACACTTTTTTCAATTTTTCCTGCATGTCATTGAAAAAAAAAAACATGCTATATTTGTCTAAATGTAAGAACATGAAACACTATTACTGTAACATCAATTCCAGTCTTGTCCTTGAAATACTGTAAGTCCTGTTTGATTCATGAAACTTTTAACAGCAGAAGTGTATTAAGATGCAAGCATTGTTGGCGTCCGGATGCAGTACTTTTCTTCTGACATCTCCATTTAATTTTTCACCAATGATAAACATATACTTATGAGTTCCTCCAAATGCTTGTTTTCTGCTTTTATTAGAAAATAGGATGCGCTGGTCAGGGATGGCTTTGTCCACCCAAAGCCACCCATTTGGCTGCCCCTGTTTGCCTTCTCTGCCAGCAATTTAATTCAATTCATTTTATTAGTATAGCGCCAATTCACACCACATGTCATCTCACTGTAATTTCCCTCTGGGATTATTAAAGTATGTCTGATTCTGATTCTGTAGGCAGTTTATAATTCAACCAGATCATACATTCAAATTGATTCGATGTTTTCTATCTAAGGAAAACCAAATGATTGCATTGACTCATTGACTCGAAAGCAATCCCTCACTCTAAGCATGCTTGTAGCAACAGTGCAGAGGAAAAACTCCCTTTTAACAGGAGGAGACAGAAGCAGACATACAGAAAGAAGCAGAGATACAAAAGGGCAACTGTAAACCAGCTACACAGGTGGCCCCCATCAAGAAAACACACAGCATTGCAGCCGAGGCCAGTTCCCATGTCAGAAGATGAAAGTGAGCAAATGCAGTTAGTCAATGTAAACTAATCAGGACTACACTGAAAAAAGGCCAAGCTCCAACATCAACAAAGGTGTTGATGGCAGCAGCACGGTCGACATTTCTCTCCAGTATGGTGTCAGAGCCAAACAGTAACAGACCAGATGAAACTATTATGAGAAAAAGCAAAGAGAGCATAATGATAGAAACTGAACTAACACATTGTACAGAATGTGAGAATAGAGATAGAATGAAAAAGAATGATGAAAAAGAGTCCCTATGTCTTCCAGCAGTCCATGCATATAGCAGTATAACTATAGAGATAGCTCAGGATAACCTGAGCCATTCTAACTATACGCTTTATCAAAAGGGAAAGTTTTAAGCCTAGCCTTAAAAGTAGACAGGGTGTCTGCTTCACACACTTAAACTGGTAGTTGGTTCCACAGGAGAGGAGCTTGATAACTAAAAGATCTGCCTCCTCTTCGACTTTTAGAAATTCTAGGAACCACTAGTAAACCTGCAGATTGAGAGCGAAGTGCTCTGTTGGGGACAAAAGGAACAATCAGATCTCAAGAATTTACATGTGAGGAGGAGGATTTTAAAATCTATTCTGGATTTGATAGAAGCTAATTAGAAGTGTGCATGCACAGCAAGAGATTGTGTGTTGGAGTTAGACTGGAATTTGGGACAATCAATGGATAAGATAATCCCCCAGAATTCTAAGCCAAAAGAAGATTGGCCTCTATACCTTTAATGAAGACAGCATACATGTGAAAATATGTCAATATGTTTTCTAGTAAGGGCTTTAGGAAAATATACTCTATCCTAAATTATATATCAAGAATATATGACTGTATTCATTTAATTTCCAGTTGGTACAGTGACACTAGTGTGGATTGACCCTTAGCTGGTTCTGGAACCTATACTTGTGCTGGTTCTGCCATTAGTACAGAGGCAGTTTGTCTAAATTACTCTAAAGTACAAAATAAATTCTTATCATTATTACGTCATTGCTGTGTTTACATAGAAGTCATGTACATTTTGTAGCAGTGAAACATATGTGCAATATGTATTGGCTATAATATATGGATACTTGTCCAAGACTTGTGATGTTCATGTTCATTTTTTTTATGTGTTTAACAGATCACTGGTAAGCATAGTCTAGCTGCTACAAAATGTAATGCCTAGAGGGTGGTCCACTATAGTATAGTATAGTATAGTATAGTATAGTATAGTATAGTATAGTATAGTATAGTATAGTATAGTATAGTATAGTATAGTATAGTATAGTATANATAGTATAGTATAGTATAGTATAGTATAGTATAGTATAGTATAGTATAGTATAGTATAGTATAGTATAGTATAGTATAGTGAATAAAGTAAACTGACAGTAGCAGAGAGTAAATAAAATAACGTCAATTAACAAAACCTAGATTAGCATCTAGAACTTTTCTCTGTAGGTTGGCTTTTGCTTGACCTTCTAGAGACAAAAATTTTATGTTAAGCTGTGACAATTGTATTTCTAAAGCTCTTGTAATAAAGATTTAAAAAAAAGTCAAACTGTTATTAACCTTAAATATTAAGATTTTTTGTTATAGAAAAAATTCTATCAAATACTTTGCAATATATTTTGGGGTCTTTGTACTCTGTTTAATTGTGGGGTGGATCTTGGCACAGGTCGACTATAGATTATTAATGTTAGACAGCAACAGGAGTAACTGAGTCACTGGGTCAGCACTAGTCCTTTCTTTTCAGGTTCTTGCTCATATTACAAAAACTGCATTAAACATGAGATAGGTTCAGTTACTCATCTGGTGACCCACATTTGCAAGGGCTGAACAGATACTGCAATTAAAACAAAATAGAAAAAGAAAAATCTAACATGTGTAATTGTAACTGGAGTTGGTAGGAAAGAACAAATCACCCCAAACCTGGCCTCTTTCCACTGCCTTACTGTCCATTTTGGAGTTTTTTTAGTTCTTTTTAAAAGTTTGCATGGTCTAGCTCCGTCTAACCTCTCTGAGCTGCTTAGTCTGTACTCTGCAACAGAGGTCTAATAAAAAGCTCAGAATGGATAGAGCTTTAAAGGATTTGCTGCTCCTCCATATCCGGATCAGACATGTCCCTTTCCCATCCACTTTTAAAATTGTTCTAACAGTGCAACACTATTAAATGGTCTTAGGCAGAACTTTCAATTTAGAGATTATTTTAGTTCTGCTTTTATTTTGTTTCCACTGTTATTAATTGTTCTTAATTCTTTCCTTGTCCATTTTTTGCTATGTCTCCGGAATTTACACATGCATTTTGTCACAGCTGTTTTTTTTATGTTTATTTAAAGTACTCTTTAAGAAATAATTCAATACCACAAGGGATTTAGCTTGACTCATAAAGAAATTGATTAACACTGATCAAAACGTGTTTAACCTAGAAAAAAACAACAATCACAATTAAACTAGAAACTGAAATTAAATGTTTAAAAATTACTAATAGTTTTTAGTAGTTTAGTTTGGTTTAAAAACTAAACTTCTAATTGCTTCCATTAAAAAAGAGAAAAACTTTAACCCCCAAAACCCAGATACATTATTTTCTCTTACCTGTTATCCTGTAACGGTTCTGCGTTACCCATTCATGTTTCTTTACTACGTCTCTCATCTTCTTCACTTTTACCACTGATCCCACTCCCCCCACCACGTGCAGTTTTACCTCCTGTTGGCTGTTGCTAAGACACCACCAAGCGGACTCTGGTTTCCTCTGTGTACAAACTCCAAAAGATATGCCTTCCCTCTTAAGCAATTGCCTAGCCTTTAGAGCTGTGCACTTTGTGATCTCTACTCTGTCAGGAGTGTTTAAACTGTGCATTTAGTGATAAATGCCTAATGCAGGCACTCACCCATGGGTCAAGCTGATATAATACATTGAAAAAGGACAGATTTTTTCTTTTAGCATTGATGTTGAGGGTAAAATATTTACTGTT